AGAGCGCCTATCCAATGAAAAGCATCGGACCAGAAACACGATCAAACAATCCAACGATAACGACTACATAATTCATGTCCATTCATTTCAGTTGACCAAAACAATAAAGCTCACTTCTGAATCTGCCAAACACCACAACTCACGTCGCTAAGCGAGCAGTGGCAGTGCCATTCGATTGAGCTTTCAGCGCCTAAGCATACAACTAATATCCTTCTATCGTAGAGCGTTGAGCATACCCAGCTTAATTACCTCCCTACCAACCAGCAATTAGTTGACAATCCACATAGGCGCTACTAGTAGCCCCGTCCCGAAACCGATAAGGATCTTCCGTGGCTTCTCAGAGCCCTTCACGGTCACTTTCACGACAAACATGCCCGGCTTGCATACATGATCCGAGTTCAAGAGCACGGAGCTCTTTGGGTTCGGGCCCTGCTGCCCTCTACATCTTTGAGACTCAAAAGAACTCAGTTCTTTCCCAGTAGAGCACCCCGCGCCTCTGGGTGTTGCTGTTTCCCCGCAACAAATCATACTGGTGAGAAGCGAGACATCGGTTCGATGAACCTTGATGCGTCTTGCACAGAGACAAACAGTTCGAAGGAGACAAGTGTCCCCACGGACAAAATACCGCCGGGTGTATGAAGGCATCCTGGCAGCTCGAAGATCTGCCGCCTCTTTCTCAGAATAGCTAGGATCCATTGGCTCAGGCCCGCTCGACGAGCTACTATGGTGTGCATGCCAACCAAGTCATGCCGACTTAAAATTAAGTTCGGCATTTAATGCCACATTTACCGGCTCTTTGAAGAAGACGGATGCACATAGAGGACTTCCATTTTGATCACGACAGAGCGGAGGCCTTCCATAAAGACGGCCACTGTGGCCGCCCCGGGGAGAGGATCGGCTGCCATCCTAGCAATGAGAGTACGCAACTTTTGGACAAAATCCACCAATTCCTTTTTGCTCTGTCGACCGGCAAGGAGACGCGATCGCGCGCGGAGTGCCGGTGAGGCTCGTAACAGCTGCAGACTCAGCTCCGTCCAGAAGGATATCGCTACTACAACCGAAATACCGCACGTCAGTGCCCATTTTTGCGCTCGACCACCGAGCTTGGAGATGGCAAGCGCCACGCGCTGATGCTTATTCTGAAGCATGGCGAATGGCGTAGCCATCTCGGCCTCTCTCATTTAGACTAGGAGATTCTCTCCATCCTTACCCTTGAAGTTTTGGACGCTCACCATGAGCGGCCTGGGTTGGGTGGAGTCATTCGTCGTCGACGGTGGCGTCACGGACACTGTCGACGCCGACATCTTCTGCTCTAGGTGCTCTAGCAGACATTTCTATAGCTCAAAAACTCCACTGTTGACACAAGTATCCCTTAACACTGGCTGCACCATGTAAAATTTCCGTATAAACGTTGTCTGTCAACACACGGTTGATGGTTGCAGCCGACACACGCTGCAAGTCTCGCCCGAATCGAATTCGTGTTGGCAACCGAGGAAGCCAAATCAGATAACTCCATCCCGTTGTTTTGCTTGAGACCCTTTGCAAAAAGTCGTGCCTTGAGTTGCGGTTTGAAAACTTCTTATGTCAAATATTCATGTTGATTTAGTTGAACGAATGGTCTTTCATCGTGGCTTCATGATTCAGGATTAAGTTTGCTCATGGGATCGAAGCTCAACTTCCATGGCTTTACGACACATTACCATAATATCGCTATTCAATGCTTAAGCCTATGTAGTCGGTATGTCCGTATCACATGAACAGCATCGGCAATGGCTCTGTCTTCGCCAATTCTAGCAAGCCTAGGTATAGTTGGGTCACCACTACTATCTCATAGTCTTAGCCGCACCTAAGTATAAGAATCAAATTTGGCTCACGTATTCATTATGTTCGCTTCGCTCCACCCCTCTTCTTATGTATGAGGAGGTGAAAAATACTCTACTAGCTCCAATCTGCTTTCAACATAGCGTTCGGAAGGCGTTGGCTGTGGAAAGCCAATGCTTGGTGTACGCTCAGTATCGTATACTTCGACGTCTGCGACTCTTCTTCAAAAAAATTTGGTGTATAGAATCAAATTGACGGTTGATCAATTTGAGTCTATACATTGCCATCATCACTGCCCTATATATCTTTGATGATCCCTTTTAAACGTTGTCCTCGCGTATTTTAAATTCCGCCTACTTCACACTCCTCCAGCCTCACCTAGCGAAGCATTTGACTGTGGTTATTTCCTAGGCAAACATATGCTAACCCTGCTTAGCCGAGAAACACCTTCACATAAAGCTCACATACATTTGAAGTTCGTGAGTTTTGGCCTTGCTTGCTTTGCATCGTTAGCATGAGCATAACTTTGCGAATCCAATATGCGCAAGTGATCTATTGAAACCTTCGTCACTCGCGATGTCTGGATGGGCTGCCATTGGACAATTCTCAAATAAATTGCTATTTGCAACGCGACCCCCCATCATTCAGTCGAAACGATCTTGTAGAAAGTCTTACTGCGAACCTTCGCCCCGATAGCCCTGCTCATGCAGCACACCACTCCATTCTGCTATGGGCTATATGGAATGAAGCGCTGGTTTTCGCGCTCATCATGTGTCATATAGAACAACGAACATGCGCCTACATTGAACACAACAATCTGAAAAGCGTATGAGTTCGACTGTGAGCATGTTAAGTGGGTGTTCAAGGGCTGACACACCGTAAGAGCATGGGGTACGCTTTACTCTAAACGCAGCGCTTTACCAAAAGAATTGCGATGATCAAGCAAATAGCAGAAACATTGTTTGCCAAATGTTCAAAGAGTATGGATTCAGTCACACCATTTTCTTTACGCTCGATGGAACAGACGACACGTGTGCCAGAGTGCGTGCAACAGAGATTATGGGGCCAATGCGAACTCCTCGTGGTAAGGTACGAAGTAGGTTACCACGTGTGCGGGTAATATATCGTAATTTTCCGGACTAGAGTATGAGTGAAGTAACTTGCACGTTAAGGAACTCATGACGCTTCATAAAATTTAATGGGGTGTTTGCTTGAGATATTTGAGATCCGACAACGGGACATAACTCGAAAATGTGGCGATGATAGACATACATCGTCGGAGCGGCATCGTCCACCAGCGCTTCATTCCATATAGCCCTCAGCAGAATAGAGTGGTAGGGTGCTTGAGCAGGACTATCATGGCGAAGGTTCGCAGTATGACTTTCTACACGATCGTTTCGACTAAATAATGGGAGGTTGCATTGCAAATAGCACTTCAATTGACAAATTGCCCAATGGTCCAACCCATCCCGACATCGCGAGGGACGAAGGTTTCATAGATCACTTACGCATATTGGATTCGCAAGGTTATGCTCATGCTGACGATACAAAGAGAGTAAAGCTGAAGCTCAAGAACTTCAAATGTACGTGAGCTTTATCTGTATGTTTCTTGGCTAAGTAAAAATAAGGGTTAGCATATATTTGCCTTGGAAATAACCACAGTCAAATGCTTCGCTTGCTGAGGTTGGAGGAGTGTGAGGTAGGCATACGCGAGGACAACATTTAGAAGTGATCATCATATATATATAGGGCACTAATGGTGGCAATGTGTAGACTGCAATTGATCAACTGTCAATTCGATTCTATATATAGAAAATTTGAAAAGAAGTAGTCGCAGACGTCGAAAATACGATATCGAGCCTACACCAAGCGTTGGCTTTCTACGACCGACGCCTTCCGAACGCTATGTTGAAAGCAGATTGAAGCTAGCAGGGTATTGTTCATCTCCTCATACACAATAAGAAGGAGTGAAGCCAACATAATGGATACGTGAGCCGAATTTGATACTAGTACTTAGGTGTGGCTCAAACTATGAGAAAGTAATTGGCGAAGACGGATCATTGCCGATGCTGTTCATGTGATGCGGACTTACCGACTACACAGGCTCAAG